TTTCGCATTAGAACCCGGAATCCCATTGAAACTTTTTGTTTTGGTTGTTTACCCTCCTTTCTTTGTGGAGGTTTTGGAAGGCCTATTTCCCCGGCCCTAAATTTGCCCTTAAGCTTTGCCCCGGCCTCCGTTGGCCCAAGTAGGAAACCCTTGAACCCTTTTCCTTTTTTCAACATTATGGGCCCTTTTAGCCCCCCCTTTTGGGGGGGGGGGGGGGAATTTCCTAGGATTTAGGAAAACGTTCAGACGTTCAGCAGCTGGATTAGTTAACCCCTTCCCCCCGTCCCTTCCACTCCAGAGGCCCCCCTCCCCCCTCCCCCGCCCACGAAAAGAAAACAGGGTTTGTTTTTTTTTGTACCGATTCATGCCCGGCCCCCCCCCCCCCCCGCAGGTGGAAGCCCTGTCGGAAGAACTGTTGAGAAGGCTGGAGGGCGTCCCGCCTCACGTGGAGGGTTTCCCGGAGGCCTTCCGCCTCCCGGGGGCGAACCCCTTCATCCCGACCGAGTTCAGCCTCCGCGCTGACGACGCTGGCGAACCCGCCGCCGCCGCTCAAGAAGGAACCGCTACCGCTGGCGATGCCGACGCTGACGCGGAGGCAGTCCGACGCCTGCTTCCGGCGAGCATCCCCGCGCTTGCGCTCGAGACGGTGCCGAAGGAGGACTGGTCGAGGCTGGTCCCGCCGTCCCTCGTGGCCGAAGGCGTGGGCGGGGAGGGGGGGCGCGGGGGGGCGGTGAACCTGTGGCACAAGATGGACAGGTCGTACCGCGTGCCCAAGTCGTCAATCGCGGCGAAGCTCTGGACGCCCGAGCCGTACGCTTCTCCAATGGCGGCGATGCAGGTGACCGGGCGGGCTTGGGACGGAAGGAGGGGGCGGAGGCTGGGGGTGGGGGTGCACGAGACTAGAAAGCGCACCCCGCATGCGCGCGTGCGTTTTGTGTCGAGATGAGTGGGAGATTTGGAGTCGATCCGCACCGCACGCAAATGATGCTCCGGCGTCTGTAGGCACTGACGCGGGCCAGGGGCGCGGTAGCGTTGTACGGGGTACCTTTTAGCGAGGACTCTCTCTCTCGCTCGCTCGCTCTCTCTCTCTCTGATGTTACGTACGCACGCGCCGAGAAGCAAAAATCCGGCTCAGCACAACTCGGCCCAACTCACGTGGTACGCGCGTGGGCGCGTAACTACTGCTGTTGTTGTCCTTCTGGCTGTTGCATATTCTCCGCTAGTGCTGCGCACGGCAGTTGTGGGATTTCGTGCAGCTCGTCTTGCTTCTTGGCGGAGGCTTTCCACATTAGAGTAGTCAGTTATGTTACAGCCATCTCGATAACCAGGTTTGTGTTTGTGTATTTTTTGGTCCGCTGCGACTATTGTGAAGATCGCATTTTTTGTCTTGTCCGCCGGCTATGCATATGCGTAGGGCGAGCGATATTTGCTAGCCTCTGTCAGAGCGGTGCTTGCTCGATGTGTTGTCATGAGAGACGCGGGTGCGTGCTGGTGTACTTGACGCGTTGTTTCTTATGTGCGGGTGTGATTTTTTGAATCGATCGCGCTAGCCGGCCGACCACCGAACAACATGCGTCAGTCTCGGTGCGTGGCTTTTAACGGAGAACGCTTCTAAAGCTGTGTGTGATTTCCTTTTTTCGTTATCCTTCTGTGGTTTCTCGTCTCTCACTCTCTGCAGGCAAGGATGTTCGTGAGGCTGCTGAAGGAGGACTTGAAGAGCTGGGCGTACGACGCCGATCTCGCGGGCCTTCGGTATTCGTTGGAGATGACCACCAGGGGTCTGCAGCTTTCCGTCGGGGGGTACAGCAGCACGGTGAGTTAGCCTATTAGTCATCCCTGGGCTTTGAGGGGAGCGGGGAGGGGTTATGTCATGAAGTGTCGTGTCATGTACGGTGAGTTGGCCACCCGCAGGCTCTTGGTTGTGTTTTGAGCGGAGGGGGTAGGGGTTATGACACGAGAATGTGTTGCGTGTTTGGCAGAAGGGGGTCGGAACAAGGTACATAGGAACGGGGAAAATGTGTTTTGCTGAGTTTTCGTCCTATTTATTATGGAGACAGTCTCCCCATTTTTCACTATTCGTGGCGAGACTTGTACTACACTTTTCAGTGACAACTATAACCATCCAGGGTCATACAGGAGGGGGTAAACACCGGGGCTTTTTTTCTTCTTTTTGATTTTGTTTTCGTGCCCCACCTTCCTCCTGCAGTGCGTGCTGAATTTTTTGTTTTTATCGCGAGAAGGGTCCAGCTAACCGTCCCTTTCCCTCGTCGACGTTGCGTACGTCCAAGTTTGAGTTTGGTACTCACGAGAGCTTTTCCGGCTATTTTTCGCCTTCATTCGCAAAAGTTGTAAATTTTTCACCCCATGGGGATTCGAACTCAGGGCTTTGCCACTAGCGGTTTCGAGGTTACCGCTATTCCACCGGGGGTGACAGGGTACAGAGCACGAAAAAAGAAAGGACTTTTACGAAAAAGTGAGGTGTCGGGGGATTCTGTTGGGTTTTGACTCTGTTGCTGTTTTGTGTTCGAAGTTCTTTTTTATCATTCTTCTCCCCAAAATGCACACGATAAAACTCGTCAGGTCGCCCTTCTGCTTTCCAAGATCTTGGGGCACATCGGAGACCTCCTGGCGGAGTATCGCGAGCTGGGCGAACTTATGGAGTCCGGCCGGGGGGGCGGAGGAGGAGGGGCGGGGGTGGGGGTGGGGGGGCACGCGGAGGGGCAGGGTTTGGCGGGCCTGACGGCGAGGCAGGAATTGCTTCGCCAGCGGTACGAGACTTCGCGGGAGAGCTTCCTGCGGTATTACCGCAACTCGGCACAGGACCAGCCGTACGAGACAGCGGACTACTACGTTCGGCAGGTAGGACGAAAAAGGTGGTGGGGCGGGGGCGGGGGGGAAAGGCGGTCATGGCCATTGTGGCTACGTGTTGCGCGACGGATTCGGTCCCATGCTTTCTATTTGGGTCAACATGAGAGGGCCTCCCGCCGTCTCTGCCTTGTTACGTCACAGTAGAGTACGTCACACTTATCGTTTGTTTTGGTGTTGTGGTTCACCGGTGTTCCGCACTCCCTTCATTGTTTCCGATTTGTTCACAACATGACCGTGAGCCCTCCCCTCCCCCAAGACACACGAACATCCGGGGATTTACAGTTTATTCTCCGAGTGTTGACCCAATATAACGCGATCGATGCCAAATGAAGAAATAACAACACGCGAACTCAAACACAACGCAGGTGATGGAAGCCGAGGTCTGGCACATCGACGAGTACAGGCAGGCTCTCGAGGACAGAGACGCCTGCACGCCGGCGGACATGGCGAGACACTTCGACAAGATCCTTGGGCGCATGCGCGTTGACGTGATGGCTCACGGCAACGTTGGTAAGAGCAAAGATATGGAGACATGATTTTTGTCTACCTCGACATGGAAAGGTCGACTCATTCGTTGGAACGGTTTCCTCACCAACCCAGAGTAGTGTTCCTTGCTTTTTCCAAGGGCGAAACGAAGGAGGATTGCGTCGTCTTGATTTCAACATTTGAAATACGCAGCAGTAGTAGCAGTGCATATTCGGCGGCTGTCTTTGTCCCTTCTTCCGTCCCCATGTCATCCTCTGCCTGATAATCCGACAGGAGCATTACATCTCCTTATCTCCTCCTTACATACCCATTGTTATGCCAGGTGGGATTTTGCATTGTGGCATGTGTACGTATGGATGACCCTGCCAGTTTTTACGTGTTGTCGTGTGTAGTTCACATCCCGTCCCGTGCACTGGTGGCAAACACTAATTTTCTCACAGGGAGGAAGGAGGCGGAGGACCTAGCCTCGGCGATCGCTGACGCGTTGTCGCGGACGGAGCCGCTCCCGGAGGCAGAGCTGCCGACGAGGAACGCGCTGAGACTGCAGGCGGCCGGGGAGGGGGAGGGCGGGGGGGGTAATGGCGTCGTCGTAGTGGAGCTGGAGGCGGACGAGGCAGAAAAGAACTCCGCTGTCCAGGTGCTTCTTTTTTTTTTAGAGAGGGGGGGCATTGTTTTTTCGTTCTTGTGTGGTAGAATGTTTCAATTTTTTCTCCAGACTTGTTTATTGTGTTTGCTTTGTGCTGTGTGTGATGCAGTGGTGGTATTGTGGGTGGGGTAGGTACGTGTGTATCGACGGTGCTTTGTGGATTCGGTTTGTTTGGGGGCTTTGGTCGTGCGCGTCATGTCGCATGCTGCGTTTCCTATGCTCAGCAGTCGGGGTCTGTGTTTTTGATTGGACTAGAAAGGGTTCCCGTGCGAGGTCTCGGTCGTGGTGAAAATTATTTTTCCGCTGCGGGACGTACCCACGTGCTGCTGCTGCTGATGATGATGATCATGATTCTGCTGCTGCTACTGCCTGCTGCTGCTACTGCCTGCTGCTGCTACTGCCTGCTGCTGCTGCTGCTGCTGCTACTGCTACTGCTACTGCTACTGCTACTGCTCCCGCTTGCCGTGTCTGAAACTACGCTACACCCAACACGTGCGCGCCGCACGCGCATTCACACGCACACAACACACAGGTGTACCTTCAGGCGGGTCCCGGCGAGTCCAACCTAGACCTAGCCTCGGCCCTGGAGTTGATCAACACGCTCGGGTACACGTCCGCCTTCCAGCAGCTGCGGACCCGGGAGCAGCTCGGGTACATGGTCTACACCCACCTTGAGCGGGGCCCCTCCGGGAAGGTGACGCCGCCGGCGTCGTGGGACGGGGCGGGAGCGGCGGGGGGCGGGGAGGAGATGCACCCCGGCGGTCCCCTCGCGTGGTCGGTGGTGGTCCAGAGCCCGGACAAGACGCCGGCGGAGCTGGAGGAGAGGGTGGAGGCGTGGATAGCCGGGTTTCGGGACGAGCTAGCGGCGTTATCGGACGAGGTCTTCCAGTCGACGGTGGCGTCCATGGTGAGAGGGGAGTAGTCATGCCAGTGGGTTGTTGGCGGTGGTTTAAGGGGGCGATCGGTCTCTCCTTGTTCGGATTGCGGGATCACGACCGACGCGGAGTATTTTCGCAATCAAGGCAAGGTTACAAAGGGGCAGGCGGTCGCTTTGGTTCATTTTTTTATTTGCTCGAGACTACTTGTAGCGCTACTGCTCGAAAACCTCTTGGCTCTACGCGCTGACAACGTGCTCCGTCCACGTTTGGTGTATTCGCCGATTCGCCGCTCTGCCGGCTGCTTGTTTGCATGTACGACGCGGCAACCAATCGGCGGTACGATGACCAAAACTCAAAATTGGACGATTTCACGAAACAAATCGTTCTGGACTGGAACGACAACAACAACGGCCGCAACTTTCATTGAAGTCTTCGAGCGTTCTCCGGCGAGAGCGGAGCATGCGCGAGGAGGCGAGCATTTTCTTCGGGGCCATCGCCAGCAGGACGGGCGACTTCTACCGGCGCTACCGCAAGGCCGAGTCCTACCGCCGCCTCACCAAGCAGGCGGTGCTCGACGCGTACGACCAGTTCTACGCGCCCGGCGCGCCCGCTCGCCGCAAGCTGAGCGTCAGGGTCGCCAGCCAGAGGCACGCGCGAGACGCGGAGGAAAAGGCGGCGGCGGCCGCGGCGGAAGGGGGCTGGGGGCACCGTGGTGGCAGGGAGGCGGGGGGTAGTGGCGGCCCCGTAGTCTTGCGTAGTTTGGAAGACATCCGGGCCTTCAAGGCTCGCACCCCAATTTATGAGTGATTTTTGGCGTTTTGTTACAGAGCATGTGTTTGCAGTCGAATTTTTTGGCAAGGTTTTGACGGGAGAAGACGCTGGCGTCGTTGTATGTAGCCCTTGTGTTGGTGTGCTTGGTTGTCGCCTTTTGAGAACCAAGATGAGATTTTGTCGACAAGATTTTGAAGGGAGAGGTGTTGTTTGGTGGGGCGTCGAGATTAGTTTAATTGGCTTCGTCAAAGACGCGCAAGCTTGCTTCGGGGCACGCCTTTCACAATCTGTTTGTTTTATGATAGAAGGCTGTCTCTCTTTTGGGATAATTTTTTGGTGATAACGTGGGTCGGGTGCTTGGCATGGAGAGACAGACAGACGCGTGACACCAACCACTGGTGGTACAAAGAATGAGGTTAGAAGCGGCTAGCTGTATAGCAGTACTGTTTTTTTTTGTTAGCCGACGTGTGAGAGAGACAGAGACAACCTCACCTGATGAAGATTGACAAGCTGGGTCCGATATGAATCGGAGATTCATTTCTTCTCGCTTCAATGCGCGCAATTTGGAAGTTCATCGCAAGGCATACAAAAAAAAGCGGACGGACTACTTGCATAGAGACTTCGTACACCATGCCTTTCGGAGCAATACAAACATCAAAGATTCCCGTTCTCTAGAGAACAACCCGTTCGAAGGGAACTAAAAAAAAAACACCGCCTGATCCCAAAAACGCGTACCCCAGGTTTGTGCGTGTAATAGCTGAGAAGAACTTTCACGAGGCACTTTGCTATAGATAATCTCTCTTTCACTCGATGGAAGCTACCACTTCCACTTCTTGCGCGAACTGCAGGAGGGGGAACATCCCCTCAAGAACAGACACGAAATCATTCATGCACAAGAGCTGCTGTGTCTGATGCCGAAATAGGCGCGTGTCGTACCTACAATCAATCGATCATAGTATGTACACTTCGTGGGGGTAACCCATTGAGCAAGTACAAGTAGTCGTCTTGTAGTATAATAGATGATCCAAAAAAATATTTGCTGCTTTCCCCACGACGTACACATCATCTATGGGGAAAAAACGATCACGACAGACGCTGCGCTTTGGTTCGTGCTGAGGTGGAGCTGGGCACCATTTCTCGACATACAGGGCAAGAGCTCCCTCGAGCGCGAGCGAAAGGGAGAGAGAGGGAGATCGAGGCGGAGCCAAGCCAGAGCGAAAGGTTGCGAAGGGGGGGATCGGGGAGGAGTATCCCCTACCCCCACGGGTTTCAGTACAGGCTTTCTCGCTTGTCCTATTTTGCCCGCACGCCGCACGCCGCAACGCGAGGTCGCGCCGCGCTTGTAGGTGTGCTCTCAACAGCGTGTGCGCATGTGTGCCGGCCCCGTCCCCGTCTAACAGGAACGAGCAAGCCGAGCGGAGAAAGGAGTCGCAGCCTCTTCGTTTCCTCCGGATCCTTCCCCTTGCTGTACCTGCTCCTTGGTTTATCTTCACACGTGGTTGCCTCATCAAAAAATCGCCAATCGACCGCTCTCTCCAATCTGTGCAAGGTTGAGCCGCTCCTGGAAGAGATCGAACGCAGCACCGCCTCGGGCGAGAGAGAATGTCTCAGCAAGCTCAAGCCGCGGAGCCTCCGGCGGCCGCTGCGGCGCCTCCTGTCGCGCCTCCTCCGCCGGTAGCTCCTCCGGCTCCTTCTCCTCCAGCACCGCAAAGCATCGTCGCGCCTGCCGGTTCCGACTCAGCGCCAGTTCCCGCCGCATCCGCTCCTACGCCACCTACTTCTGCTTCGGCCCTTCCTCCGTCCACGACTGCCGCCGCCGCTGCGTCCCCCGGCGCGCCGCCGGCAGCGCCGAACGGCCTGGCGACGCAGTACGGGGTGGTCGTCTGGCCGTCCCTCCCGGGCCTTCAGCAGGCCGCTGTCGGCGTGGCGCCGCCGGCGGCCCCGTCCGCTCTATCCGGCGTCCCGGCCGCCCATCATCGCATGCCAACAGCGGCGGGACGCGGCGGGATGGTTGGGCCCGGGATGGAGCAACCGGGGCTGCCGGCCGGGGCCGTGCCGCCGGGCCCTCCGGGGGACTGGAGCGGCATCGGGAGGACGATGACGCCGGTGAAGGGGCGCCGCACGAAGGCGCAGCGCGCCAACAGCAGCGGAAAGAAGAGCAACGACCCCAACACCGAGGCAAGAGAAAAAACGATGCCCTTTTTATGTTGATGATGGGCGGGGGCGGGGAGGGATTTATTTTTTTGAGTTTTGCCGCCTTTCCTTGCGTGTGTGCCGCGTTTGTGTACGTGGTGTCCACCCTGCTGTTGCTGCGGACTGGTTTGAAAACCATGGTCCAGGGTATCAGCCGAAGCCTGTGCCCTGTCTACAAAACTTGTAGACTCAACAGCAGCGGCAGCCAGAAGCGTTCCCACACAGCGATCTCTCAATCCGCGTGCTGCGACCCCTTTTTTGGGGGGGCTCTCCGGTGTCTCTTTCGTGGATTTACCCACGGCTGGACTCGTTTAGCCTGATTGTCCCGATGCCCCCCCTCCGTGTGCCCAGTAGGCCTTCCTACCAGTGGTGTGGCCGTGATTCCCCTTGGGATCTCCCCGCTCGCGTGTGCGTTTACTTGGTTTTTGAACTTGTTCGTGTTACAAGTTTTTCGCCCGGTTCAAGAAAAGTTGCCATTCCCCCCTGTTGCCGCCTACCGGTTCTCTCGCTTTCTTCTTTTTCTTGGCCGATTTTTGTGATGCGTGCGTTCGTCTGCTTTTCGTCCATACTCGCGTGGAATTATGCCCGGTGTGTACGGTTGTGACCAACCCCAACGCCACAACTACGGTGCTATTGCTCGAGGAACCCTGATGGTGTCTAGTTGCGCCGCGTTTTTTTATTTGAGCCGGTCTCGTTGTCGTCGCTCATGTGGAGGCGGCATTATAGAGGTTTCCCATGTCTGCTGTGCCTCCTGTCTCGCCTTGGTACTGCCTGCTGCCGAAGAACGCGGGTTCTAAATATCGTTAATCGTGCGAGAGGTAGTAATCGCAGCGGTGTTGGGCTGAGTTCGCAGCACAAAAACATTACGTGCCCGGTAGAACCTTGCCTCAGAGCAACGCCTTTGCTTCATGGGCGGACGATGAGCGGCACACCATTCATCAGGGCAGCTCAGTTTCTCAGCCGCGCGAGGTTGGGGCTAGTCTCTTACGCTCGCAGCAGGCAGTGATCCCTCTCGCTTCTAGCAGTGCGACGTGTGCGAGCGCGTGCTGCGTAGTATTTCCTCATGAGATGGCGCCGCGTTCGGTCGTCGGGGGCGCGGGGGCAAGTATCTATTTCGATGATTGCAGGAAATAACAGGCAGCAAAGTGTTTTTTTGAGTTTTTCGGTCCGGTGTCGTTGCTGTTCCTGTTGCGTCTTTTCTTGTTGATGGAAGATTATTGCTTCCAGCCTTCGGGAAACCATCAGTCTACCGCCGTTAGTATGTGTTGTAGCAGAACTTCGTGCTGAGCCAGTCGTCGAATTGCCTCTTTTTTTCCGTTCCTTGTTTCCGAAAACAGGGGGGGGGCGACGTCACGAACGACCGCGACACGATGGTCGTCCTGCGCAGCGCGTGCGACGCGTGCCACCGGATGAAGCGCAAGTGCGACGGGCTGCAGCCCTGCAACCGCTGCCGCCGCCGGAGCCGCCCCTGCGGCTACAGCTACAAGCAGAAGTCGGGGCCGCCGAAGGGGAGCAAGCGCAAGCTCATCGCGGCGGACGAGGACCTCCTTGAGAACCGGCAGTCCCGCCCCAAGCTTATCCAGGTGCCGACGATGTGGCCCAAGGACGCACAGCAGCAAGGCCATGCCGCCGCAGCCGCTGCCGCCGCTGCCGCCGCTGCGACGGCGCACGCGGCGGCCGCAAGTGCCGCCCAAGCGACCATGCACGTGGCGGCGGGAGGTGAAGCAGCCCCGAACGCCGGCGCTCCGCCAGTGGGCACCAACGCGGCTGCCCCTCCCGGCGGCGCCACCTCGCCGGGAGCAAACGGCATCAATCGGCTCTTGGCGGTGGGCGGCCACGGCCAACAGCAGCAGCCGGTGCCT